CCAAACCTAATTTCTTTGGTTCTTCTACTTTTCTTCATCACAGCATATGTTAATTGGACGGTACAAAATATCTAGAGTAGCTGCTGGTCTGTTGAAAGTCATCCATGCTATGGTGAAAGGATGCTGGAATATGAGTCAAAAGACCTGAGATCTAGTTTTAGGCAAGCTATTTCACCTCTGGGCTCTGAGGCTTCTGTTGTGCTGATCGGGACAAATTGGTAGAGATGCAGAAATGGTGAGGTCAGAAAGAACAGGTTGATATATATTAGTTTGGCAAAGGCGGGGAGTTATTCAAAGAGCAAGAAGGGAACGTAGTGGGTGAGAGAATGAGGCTGAAGAAAGAAGAGCCAGGTCTAGGTCTGGCCTAGTTTTTTGGGGGTAATATTTAGGGAAAAGAGAGATTGGATACTGTTGCTGTGTTGTGATGAGTAGAACTTGGAGATATAGATCAAGATTTTTGATCATGTTTATTGAGGCCCAGGCAAAGAAATTCCCCTTTCACGCTTATTTCATAGAAGGCCACCAATGAATATTTGTTGAGTGAACAAACAAGCCCTTGTGGAACTTAACATTGAGAAGGAAATACAGATATTGAGCAAATAATCATGTTATGATGACTACAACAGGGAAGTATGGTGCTACTGTATACCTGGGGGAGCCAACTTAAGTGGGGAGCAAGACAACCCAGGCCTCCCTGATCTAAAAACTGATTAGGAGTTGGCCAGGTGACAAGAACAGGAGTGTCCCAGGCATAGGAAAAAGTATGTGTGAAGGCCTCAGGATGAGTGTAATAGGGTATTTGGGGGAAATGAAAGAAGAGCAATATGGCTGGGGCCTGGAGAGGAAGAGCTGGACAGAGGTGGGCCCATGGGAGGTATGGTAAGCCTCAGGATTGGGGGCTTTACCCTAAGGTAAAATGGTATGCTTTAGGCAGGTAAAGTGAGGTGATTAAGTTTGTGTTTTAAAAGACCTCTCTAGATGTGTGGGAAATGGATCACAGGTGGGGAATGGAAAACTTGGAGAAGTAGGGTGGAGCAGAGATGATCTAGGGAAACTGGCTAAGTAAGGATAAGAGTGCAGGCCAGACCTGTAATTCCAGCACTTTGGGAGGCCAAGGTGGGAGGATCATTTGAGGTCAGAAGTTTGAGACCAGCCTGGGCAACACAGTGAGACCCCATCTCTCTCTCTAAAAAACAAACAAACAAACAAAAAAACAATGCAGGCCAGAGGCGATAGAGGCTTGGCTAGAGGGGATGGTAGGTCAAGAGAATAGTGGAATAATGGTAGACTCATGAGAGATTTGGAAACTAGAGTAGTTAAGATACAGTGATTCACTGGCCTTATTGGAAGGGAGGAGGCAGCCAAGATGACGTCCAGGATTTTGATTTACTAAATGGTCATACCATTTACTGAGATAAAGAAAAACTACAAGAGGAGCCAGCTGCTGGTGGTGGGTGAGTGGTGAGGGGATATTGAATTCAGCTGTGGAGAAGGTTTGTAAGATATAGAAGAGGAGATGCCAAGCAGGCAGTTGAATAGATGGCAGCGATGGTCACTGGAATTCTGAGCAAAAATGCACTATCAGTCTAGGGAGTGAATGAAGTGAGAGGCATTGATAGGGTCCTGAGGTGCTCTCACTTTTTAAAAGTTAGATTGAGAAGGAGCCAGCAAAAGTGACCAAGAGAAGAAGAACACCAGGAGTGTGCAGGGCCATGGAAGGCCTTAATGAAAGCGTCTAAGATGAAACTCTAAGTGAAGCAGCTGTCAGATTACAAGCAGAGAACATCACTCAGCAATTTAAGTTTTGGTAATTCTCCCCTTTTATTAGAAAATCATGTATCGACATTTCTTGGGGAAAAAACACCTTCCAAAATCCCACTTTAAAATGACTATTCTATTTTCATGTCAGTATATTACCCTCTAGTACTTTATAATGTATAAATATTTTTTGCATTGTTATAATTACAATGGATGGATAACTTTGATGTTTCCCATTTTAAAGTAAAAGGAATTTGTGATTTCATAATTATCATTTTAGTGGCTGTATAATGATACATTCAGTGACATTTTAGAGATCTGTAAGAAGATAGGGCTGATTCTATGAAAGCTACAGGAAGAAAAGAAAAACCAAGAAGATAAGCATTTTCTCAAAATCTATCTTCCTTTATTATAGCAGGATCATTGTAAAGAGTTAAGCAAGCACAAGAGCAAATGAGCTCCTATCAATAATTTTGGTTCTGAAGTTTAAATAAGTACACACCAATCCCAGTATGTTGCTTCTTGTCTACAACTTTATACAGTCACATTTCAACCTTGGAGTGAAAGTGGAAAATTTAAATTATATCCTAAGAAGAGCAGGGTTAAACTGGAGGGAGATGTGTTTATTTTGTTGATCCTTGAAATACAAGGACTCTCTTCATAGATAAACTAGCAAAGTAAAGACCAATACATCACCTTGATGCACATTGTTTCCTTTGCATCTTCAATAACAGATAATGGAGTCAAGGGCAAGAGTAAATGATGCTTTTATTCATTGCCATTAAATCTTAAAAACAGACTGAAGAGCTCTAAGGTATCCAAGTATCCAAGCAGGTTTTTTTTTTTTTTAAGCTTCTTTCATGATTTCATACTTTCAAAGCTTAGATTTACAAGTCTTCGCAAACATCCTTTAGTACAAAAGAGGCTGAAATGGGTAATACCTGCTTCAGTTGAAGTGCTCTCATTTGTTTAAAGTCAAGCCCTAAACTGATGAGTGAGGTGGGTGATCACATAAGTTGAAAAAGAAGAATTTTCTGGAGCTGTAGGGTTTGAGTTTCTGTAAGAAATGTAACTAGAAACAAAAGGTGAACTAGCTCCACCAAATCTCATGACTAAACCAAGAACATTTTTTAACTTTTTTTATCAGAGGAAATCAGTTGATCTAATGAAATCTAATGAGATCTGCTGGAATCAGTTCTTTACCACAGAAAATCTAAAACCTATTGCCAACAAAGACGTCTCTAGTTTGGTGATATCAAAAGTTATCGATCAGGGAATGTAGGACACTAGGGATGCTGGACTTCCTTTGGTATAATTCAGTAAATATGTACTGAGCTCCTACTTTGTGCAAGACAAAATGCCACATACAGCTTCCATGACATCCTTAGTTAAAGGCACATCTTCCCTCTTATCTGTTGTTTTAAGATCAGACTTAAAACAGATCCTCTTTTCACGGATCTTGTTGGCAGTTTCCTGTATGTTCCTATCTTGTGAGAAGCTGTTTTTGTTCTCACTCCAGGTTGTAGGGGACGGTTAGTGATGTCAAATCTATCCAAAGCACCAGCCAACTTAAGGCAGGTTCCTGGGCTAAGAGCTTGGGGCCTCTCTCCGTGGTAGGGGAGGGGAGAGGAGAAAGAAGAATGGATAAATAAGGAGAGATGTGGGCCTCTGAATCACATGGAGACTCCGTGTTGAGCACCTTCTACACACCACATTCTTATTTAACCCCTGGTTAATAATCACAACTGTGTGAAGGAGATGGTTTTGTTTAACTGCATTTGACAGACAAGGAAACTGACTAGTGACCTACCCAAGGTCACAGAGTAAGTGGATCTGGGATCTGGGATCTGAATTTCCTCTCTAGGTCTTCAAAGGCTTTCTACCACAGTGCACAGGGACCTACTAGGATTTCAGGTCCAGAGTGGATCATACTGTGCCTCCCATTCCTATATTTTTACAAGATGAAATCTGTCTAGAATGCACATCTAGTAAGTAGGAAAGGGAAAAAAGGCCATGGACAGGCAATTCATAGCCAGAGAGGTGAGAATGTAGGGTGTGGGTCACCCTTGTGTGTGTGTGTGTGTGTGTGTGTGTGTGTCTGGATGAGGAGCCCCTTAGGTCATTTTAGAACTAGCACCTGCCTTCCTGAGTCCTTGCCCGTACTACAATGACTTGTTTCTCCACTGGACAAAAATATGGCTGGCTGGCCCAGTTCTGTCTCAAATAATGATTGGGAGGATCAAATACGGCCCTCTGTAAACTACAGTACATTACAAACTGGTAAGGTAGCAGACATCTTTCCAAGGTATCAGGAACAGTGAAGTATCTGATTAAATTCTTGATTACGTGAGATACAGGAGGGAAGCAATAACATATGGTAACTGAACTGTATAGATACTATCAAAAATTGCATTCTAACCAGCAATTTTAATCTGAGATTTGTCTCTTTGGAGAACTTTAAAAAATAAGAAAGAAAAGGAGAGGGGTGTAAAATGCCAGGAAGATTAATTCAATTTTTTCTCTTTTGAGCCCTGCCCATAGGAGGGAATTAGGACAGAACAAAAAAATTAACAACAACAAAAAAACCAGAAAGAGACGCGCGTACGTGTTAATACACAGTTAAATACTGTGGTAAGAAAATGAGTTATGCAGAAAATGCTTCAGATTACCCCTGGGGACGGCTCTGGTTCTGGACATTCCCTTTGGCAACATTCCAGGGTCTGAGTCCCCAGGGCTCCCCCCAGTGGGAAGGGGAAGACGCGCGTGCCCTGGCGCGCGCGTACACGTGCACTCACTTGTACACACACACGCGCGCACATTACACATACATACGCCAGTTTCCTCCGCTCCTCCTCCCCACGGGGGGCGGGTCTCTTTCTCTTTAAAGAGCAGACGGTCTCCGAGCACACCCAGGCTCTCCAAGGCCCCGGGGGCTCGGGACCAGAGCTGCTCGCAGCCAATGGGCGCGGTGGAGCGGCTCGTGCGCGGCTGACGCTACACCAATGGGAGCTCGCGGGGGGCGGGGGCAGCGGAGGAGACACTATTGTTGATGAGGACCAGCGGCGGCGGTAGCGGCTGCACCACCTCGTTGCTGTTGGCCGCGGCCCGGTCGTCCCCCGAACCCCGGAGTCCGGCTTCGTCACCTTGTCGCAGGGGCCTTCCCTCCGGCCCCAAGAATCGTCCCCCTGCAACCCAACAACAAACCCCCCCCGTCTCGCCCAGTCACCGGGGAGGGGGGGACCATGTCCCAGCGGGTGAGGCGCAATGGGTCCCCCACGCCGGCCGCCTCCCTTGGGGGTGGTGCGGTCGCTACGGCCGGGGGACCCGGGAGCCGCCTGCAGCCCATGAGGGCGACGGTTCCGTTCCAGCTGAAGCAGCAGCAGCAACATGGCAGCCCCACGCGGAGCGGCGGCGGCGGCGGCAACAACAACGGTGGCTGCTGTGGAAGCGCCTCAGGCCCCTCAGGCGGCGGCGGCGGGGGCCCGCGCACTGCCTCGCGCAGTACGAGCCCCACGCGCGGCGGCGGGAGCGCGGCGGCGCGCACCAGCCCCACAGTGGCCACGCAGACGGGCGCGTCCGCGACGTCCACGCGAGGCACCAGCCCCACGCGCGGCGCCGCGCCCGGGGCTCGCGGGAGCCCCCCACGGCCGCCGCCGCCGCCGCTGCTGGGCACGGTGTCGTCTCCCAGCTCGTCGCCCACCCACCTGTGGACCGGTGAGGTGAGCGCAGCCCCACCCCCAGCCCGCGTCCGGCATCGGAGGAGGTCCCCGGAGCAGAGCCGAAGCTCCCCGGAGAAGAGGAGTCCGAGCGCCCCGGTTTGCAAAGCCGGTAAGTGCTGGGGGTCGCGCCGCGAAGGGGGAGGCGGCGGCGGCGGGACTGGGTCCCGGGCGCGCGCTGCTGCCACGCGGGGACTGCGGCGCTGCCACGGAGTGCCGGGGGCCGGGGGCGGGGCCCGGGCGGTGGGGACCCTGGCAGTGCGGCCCCGCCTTTCCTGGGCCTGCCCGCGCCCGGGACACCGCGCGCCGCTCGCCTCCTTGGTCCCTCAGCCCGCCCCGCGCGGGTCCCTGGCAGTGGAGGTGCAGCCGCTAACCTTGTGCTTGGGCTGACAGGTGTTAATTGTAAACCTGGGGTTCTGGCTTTCCGCTGGTGACTGCTTACCTTACCTCGTTTGAGGATGGAGCTAGGAGTGGTTTGTCACTTTGTTTTAGGGACGTGGTTAATGTCGCTATAGTACATGTCTGCTGCTAAGTATTTCTGTTCCACAAAACAGTTTCAGATCTGGGGGGACTGACTGCATTAGCAGTGGCAGATTTAGATCACTCAAGAGACGTGAGGCTGGTGCATTTTATTTTCCGGGATTGGTAAATGGGTAGCAAGAAGTGAGAATTAAGTTAAAAAAGATTCCTTTGGAAGGTTTATGAGCTTTGTTTGAAGCTCTGGGTGTATTTTTGTTGTACTGATTTTGTGTTTTGAATGTAGAAAAAGCAAGATATAGTGTTTGTCTTCATCTTGTTACTGTTTTAGGGACCTAAAATTCTTTGTGTTTCTCTTTATCTGGGAACTTTCTTGGGAAAAAGAAAATGAATGGAGCTGTCGGGTTCATAAAGAGTAACTTAAAAGAGAAATTCAAATTGTGGGAGAGGTGGAAAGGGATAAAATTTAATATCATGTGGTTGCCTTCATGTCAGAATCTGGTGAAAAATAAATGGGTGGTTTTTAGTTATGTATTAATTTTGCCAACATATACCTTTGTCTTTCCCTGTCCGGCGAATTTCTGTTAGAATCTCTCAGGCAGAATGGTTGGAAATTCCAGGAAACTTTAACTACAGTACTTCCAAACCAAGTAAGTCAGGTGAAGTAGTTTTAGAAATGGAGGGAGTAGGATGAATCTTTCTTACTATTTATTTTATGAAAGGTTTTAGACAATACTTTTTGAGAAGAATTGCCCTGAAAAATGATGAATAGTGCTTTCTTTTTCTTTCCTTTTTTTTTGATGAATAATGTTTTCTAATTAGAATTGGAGTACTGTTTTAAACCTTTTGAGAATGCAAAATGCTTTTTAGAAACCATGATTGTCAGAAGTACTAGACCTCCCCCTCTCCTTCATAATATCTATCACCTACTCAACTCCTATGTAGCTGGTGGTTGTCATACAAGATCTCATTTTAACCCTCACAATAGCCTTTAGAGAGGATAAGTAACGAGTGGCAGAGTTGGTATTTGAACTCTGGTTGGTTATATTTCAAAGACCATGTCTTTAAATTATATCAAGGAAATAGCTTCATGATGTATGAAATAGAACCTGGGAAATCTATAGCACACCACAATTACATATACTTAGTTTTTGTTTGTTTTAGAGATAGGGTCTCTGTGTTGTGCAGGCTGGAGTACAGTGGCGTGATCATAACATGTACTTAATTTTTGAAGCAGCTCTCTATAGGTATCTTCAAAAAAATTGCTTCAGTCCTTCGACCTTCTGGAGCCAGCATAATGTTGTCAAGTGAAGGGAAAGGAGAGTTGCTTAAGTGGGTAGTAGAGGTGGAGGAAGGAGGCAGGCTCCCAGTCTGACAACAGAGTCTGGCTATCCTATCAACTATTTTAACACTCAAAGCAGAGGAACAACCTGAGGAGAACTGGGTTAAATTAAGTATTGGCAGTGTGGAAGAAGGTGATCTTTTCCTCTCATTCTCAGGGAGGGGCTCTGTTTCCTGGGGTCTCAGGCTCCTCATGTGCTCGTTCTTCATGTGCTCTAAAACTTCCCTTCCGAAGACCTATCATTCCATAGAGTATTTGCTGTAAAATTAATCATCTTCATTAGCTCCCCTCCAAACAAATAGAAAAATAGAAACTTACTCTTCTAGTGTAGCACTTTCAACTAGTTGTGAGAGATAATGCCTGTTATTAAGTCGTCCTCAAGTGTGAATGTCTAATAGCTTCCTTCTCCAGGAATGTATTCTTGTTTGATACTAGTGAACATCCATGCAGTGTGGAACAAAATGTTTTTGGATTTCAGGTGTTCATAGCAAACACAAAAAAACCCCATGATTAAATGATTTGCTGTTTTTGTATGACTAAATCTGGAAGGAGTGTTTTTGTAATCTCCAGACCCCATTTTTGATTAATGGGAGGTTACCACCAGTTTGCAACCTCAATGAAATATAAAAATCCTTACTGGAGAGGGCAAGAATCTATGCAATATAGTTCTGTAAAGCCCTTACGACTCTAATTCTAGGATCCATCTAGATCAGGTTGCTGGCTTCTAGGTGTCTTATCAGATGAGCTGGATGCCATAACCTTTGCTAGGGATCCAGTATCTCAAAGTCTCTAAGTTGATAGTCAACAGGATCCCCTACCTACCCAGTTGCTTTATTCTTCCGGGGTTAGAACTAATCATTGGCTGATCCAGAACTTCCTTCTCTTGGCTACTATAAGGTAATCGGAGTACCCATCCCTGACTGATTTTAAACTTCCCACCTTCAGTGCCTGCCATCTCCATAGCAAAGCGGTTTGTCATTAGGAACTGAGATATGCTTAGAGAAGGTAACTAGGCAACAGTGTTAACCGTGAGGTTTGTTTTTGTGCCTTCCCTCCTTTTACCTGACTTTGTCTTTTTCAATAAAATGTCAAATATGTTAAAAATGGAGAGGTGGCATAACATAGAGGTTAGAAGGATAGGTTTTGAGTAGATAGTCTGGGTTTAATACCTGTGTTCTGCCACTTAGAAGCTATGTGATATGGGAAAGTGAGTAACTTTCTAACCCTTACTTCCTTATCAATAAAATGGGTGATGATATACTTCATATGATGGTAGAGATTTAAATGAGGGAAAATTGAAAAATTCTCAGCATAGTACCTCAGTATAAAAGTTAACTGTTGTGTAATATATTTGTTTTGCTTGTAGTTTTTGTGGATGTAGCATAAATTGCCAGTGTAGGCTCAGTTTTCATGGTTGTATGAAATTTCAGATTAGAGGTGAGATTGCCTGTGAACATCCAGAATGGTGTTTCTCAGAGTGTGGTCTGTGGTTCATCTGTATCAGTATTACTTAGGGCGTGTAGTATAATACAATAGTATGTTTGATCTTTGTCCATAATTCTTGCACTGAGCTCCTAAAGCCCTTGTAATGTCCAGAATAATAGGAGTGTCTTTTGTTATTCATAATAAACCAGTTTCAATCACACCTGGGTCTATGCTAATGAGGTGACTTAAGGTGGGGCCTCTATTGAAGTTGGTGCAAAAGTAATTTTGGTTTTGGACTGAATTTTAAGTCATTATAACTAGGCCCAAACACATCTTTATGAATCAAAATAACAGCCGTTGTAATCAACGCATTTTTGTCAACAAGAAATAAGTTTGTTTATTCCTGTAGCATAAAAATCTGTGCTTCGGAATGCCATGAACTCTTGGAAAGCATTTTATGCATTTTGCTGGTTGTGGAAGTGTTTTCCCTGCAAAAAGTTGTGGAGATGCTTGAAGAAGTGGTAGTCGGTTGGCAAGATGTCTGGTGAATATGGCAGATGAGGCAAAACTTTGTAGCCCGATTCGTTAAACTTTTGAAGTTGGTTGTGTGATGTTTGGTCGTATGACGTTTGGTAGGGCGTTGTCATGGAGAAGAATTGGGCCCTTTCTGTTGACCAATGCCTGCTGCAGGTGTTGCAGTTTTCCATGCATCTCATCTATTTGCTGAGCATACTTGTCAGATGTAATGGTTTCTCTGGCATTCAGAAAGCTGTAGTGGATCATACTAGCAGCAGACCACCGAGCAGTGACCATGACCTTTTTTTGGTGCAAGTTTGGCTTTGGAAAGTGCTTTGGAGCTACTTCTCGTCCAACTACTGAGCTGGTCGTTGTCGGTTGTCCTATAAAATCCACTTTTTGTTGCACATCACAATCCGATTGAGAAATGGTTCGTTGTTATGTACAATGAGAGAAGACGACACTTCAAAAATGATGATTTTTTTTGATTTTTGGTTGGTTCATGAGGCACCCACTTACGAGCTTTTTCACCTTTCCAATTTGCTTCAAATGCAGAACTTGTTGTGTAGCTGTAAGAGGATCAGCTTTGATGATTGCTCTCAATTGGTCATTGTCAACTTTTGATGGCCGGCCACTGTGATCCTCATCTTCAAGGCTCTGGTCTCCTTTGCAAAACTTCTTGAACCACCACTGCACTGTACATTCGTTAGCAGTTCCTGGGCCAAATGCATTGTTGATGTTGTGAGTTGTCTCTGCTGCTTTACAGCCCATTTTGAACTCGAATAAGAAAATCGCTTGAATTTGCTTTTTGTCTAACATCATTTCCATAGTTTAAATGTAAAATAAACAGCAAGTAATGTCATTAGCAAAAAAAAAAAATAATAAAAATAAAGTGAGAAATGTGCACTGAGGTGATGTATAACATAACCACATTTATTTAAGAATGTATTCCAGTATTCAAAGGGCAAATTTCAGTAATGCTAAAACTAAAATTACTTTTGCACCAACCTAAATAGTTAGCCTCAGAAAGACCAAGTGATTGGAGGGTTAGAACTTTGAGCCCAACCCACAGGTGTCCAGGAAGGCGAGTGGGAGGGCTGGAGATTAAACTTTATAAAAACCTTTGAACAATGAGATTTCAAGGGTTAGTGAACCAAAGGTGCTGGGAGAGTGGTGCCTGGACAGGGTATGGAAACTTGATGCTTCCCCTCCCCCCATACCTTGCCCTGTGCATCTCTTCCATCTGGCTGTCGTGGGTTTTATCCTTTATAATAAACTGGTAAACGTAAGTAAAATGTTTCTCTGAGTTCTGTGGGCCATTAAGAAAACTTAGGAGGGGGTCGTGTGAACCC